TTTCAAAATTTGGTTTTGCGCATGCACAGTGCCAACTTTTTTATTTATGGAAGAATTTAAATGAAATGTGATACATAGGCACTTGGAATAAAGGAAAAATCTAACGCCAGTTTCAAAATTTGGTTTTGCGCATGCGCAGTGTCAACTTTTTTATTTATGGAAGCATTTAAATGAAATTTGATACTTTGGCGCTTGGAACAAAGGAAAATCTAACATTAGTTTCAAAATTTAGGTTTGCGCATGCGCAGTTCCAACTTTCTTATTTAGAAAAGCATGAAATGAAATTCTTCTCACAAACTGAAATTGAAGTAGCACGTCAAAAATGGATTGCCCATGTGCAACGCTATCTTTCATATTTGTGGCCGGATTTTTATGATTTTAATAGAAGTTGCATCTTACAATAATGGGAAATGAATGCAAGTGGAAATGCGCTTTATGTAAATCGTTTACGATTACTTTTTAACTTGTTGTCAATTATGATCGTTTTTTGATTGTGAATGGCATGTGACTTTATGTAATGCTGCTGTACCCCAAGTTGAGGAATTTGAATCTACATTACGTGTTTTGACAAATGTCTACATTCGTTTCATTGTTTTATGAACAGTTGTCAGTAATGTCGTTTTTTGCTTGTTTAATATCAAATAGGTAAACATAATAAATAATGTATTTACTTTATTACTTCCATACCTTGACACAAACAAAGAATTATTTTAAAAGGGCCCTCCATAATGTGTAAATTGTTTTGTGGGGTTTGGTAAACCCCATACCGCACTACTGGTGTTCTAATCAGTCACCGCACTACCGTAGGGTTAAGAAAAACTCACTGTAAATAGGATCTTTATACAAACCTTTTCTTGTATCTGTGTGTCAATGTAATATTTAAAACATGTTTAACTTTTTTATTCAATCGTAGATTAGCAAATTACTGTAGTCATTTAAAAAAGATATACAAGGCGCTTTAGAATACCCGGGTGAAAAACTGTTCCCCTACTTGCAAAAAACTGGTATAAAGTAGGATTGTCTGTAAAACCTAAAAATTTTAAAATACACAGATTGTACTTAAATAAAATAAAAAAAGCAAAAACCAATGATCACTGTAACACCTAAATAGACGTTGTGATATTAATGTCGGTTTAAGTCGATTAAAATTTAATAAACTTACTTCTAAAGGCATAACATATTTATACAGGTTTTACGATATATAGCAATAATGAAAAACATCGTGGTTCCCAAATCTTTTACAAAATATTTGGAAAATTATTTATACTCCCAAATAGAGATAGATCGAAGAATATATTAGGATACTTCAATGTCTTTCTCCATAAGAAAGGATGAAATGAGTTGAATTTTTCGAATGGGCTTCAGTGGGTGACGTCTGACAACGTTTGTCTTGGTTGGTCGGCTATCTATATTTTAGGATATTAGGGTACTTTTTATATTGGCAATCTCGGAAGTTTATCGATTTCCACCTTTGAAATTAGTCAGAGGATTGAAAAAATGGTGTAGTGCGTAAGCTAGGTACCTACTTTACATTATGCGAGGACTTCTGTGATGTGAATGGCATTTAATTAAAATGTAATCAAATTCATTTTAGGGGTAGAAATGGATAAAATTCGGCAAATTTCCAAGATAAGAATCCTCTCTTTCAACTCCCTATGTTACCTTTTATTTTTATGAAAATTACAAAGCCTATAGCGCTGTTATTTATTGATTATTAACGTACTTCATTTTGTGATATCTAAATGGTTATAAAGAAGCATTTTTGAATCGTTACAAATATCACATCAAAATTACAAATGACAGATGACCTACTGCTACCCAGATCACATTGAATATTTCTGTAATATACCAAGACCCATAACTAGAATGAAGCAGTCGGGGTGGCAAGTACTTTTCTAGGTGGGGATTAAAGTTTGCAAAAGACTTATACATCGAACAACTCTTAAGTGCATATAAGTATATATGCCTCACTTAAAAGTCTCATTTTATAATAAATAAATAAATAAATAATTAAATAAATAAAAGAAACGAATGGATATGTGGATGCAATAAGAAAATTGTTCTCTTCTGTTTCTTGTGTGCACTTTTCAGCGGAGGTTCACAAATTGACGTTCAAAATTCAAAATTCCGCCATTTATGAATTGAATTGCATGAAATTGAAATGGGGTATATACACTGTGTCCAAGATAAGGATGTCCATCATGGGAATCTCCGAAACCATAAAAGATTATGAAAAAGTTACGCAATTAAAGAGTCGGGCGTCGTCCACGGGTGCACCACCCTGTTGAAACGAACAGTTTTCAACTTTGTTTGTGTGTGTACTGTACGTCGTTGTATTTGTAATAAAAAATGCTACTCAATACCAGTGTGTACTTTTTTACGGACCATATGAAAAAAATTTGATGATGATTTCTCTTATACGAAACATTGTATTGAAAATCTCTCAGCGCTGTCTTATAGAGTTCAAGACGTGGAAACAAGAATGTGTTTTTTGTTATTTTGTATCGGTTCAAATATCATCAGAAAAAAATAAAAACGAAATCGACCAACTGCGGTTTTTTGGCACATCTTCGGAAGTAATTTTTCTCGAATTTGACCATCGTCGCATCTTTTATGGTTTTGGATATCCCCATCATATATGGTGCCGGCTATGCCTATTTTGAATTCCGTGCAGTTCGGTTCACAACTAATGAAGATGTCAAAAGGGCCTTGTTTATTTTTTTTGGCTCGTATGGTCAATTCACGACGCCGGTCTACGAATTTGTTAACTTTGTTAACTAATTTCTATCTGGGGAAACTTCGGAAAAAAAAATGTGCCAGATTTGGGTTTGCTTCAATGGACAAAAAGTCAATGAAAAGACCATATTACATAAAGTTTATATTAACAAATAAAAAAACGTACCTACGTAACTTGTGGTTTCCATATTACAAAATAATCACAAAGTTGGTTATGCAAAATGAAGCTCTAAGCCTTTATACGTCCTGATCCATTCTGATTCGTTTGATTGTAACAAGGTTTTCGAATTCTGTCTAGTTTTCGTTTGAGAATTAAGCAACGGCGTCTTCAAAATCATCTTCACATTCGGGAATAGTTGCCGGAACACTAATTTGATTGCTAATCGAACTGCATAACTGTCCAGGTACATTGCCGATGTTCGAGGTACTTAAAATTTGCTCCAACGTCATTAATTTCATTTGAAAGTAGCGTTTCTCTTCGGTCAAGCACGCCAAGTCTTTTTCCTGCTCCGCTATTACTTGCCGTAGATCGGACATTACATTCAAATCTTCTTGTCTGGATTCTCTTCTTTCATATCTTGATCTTATCTCTTCAAATCTGAGAAAAAATCAGAGTTGCATAATTCAGATAGTTTGTAATCTCCTTATGAGTTATAATATCTTATTCCTCGTACACAAACTTTCAAAATGTCAATTTTGAACAAAATAAACTGTTTTGAGAGTACTTACAGTTTAGTAACGCATTGGCATTTCCGTTCCAAATGATCAATCTTTGCCTTCAGATCCTTTTCTGTATTCTGAAATGTAGCTTTCTGTTCTTCTAGTTCTTGTGTGTGTTTATTTTGCAACTTTGTGATTTCTTCGTGCAGTCCTCTTTAAAAGGAGAAAGGAAAAGTAAAAAATAGGTGAAAGGATAACTAGCTAATTTTTTGCATTATCTAATCTAATTTTAACTAAAATTTCGTAGTGAAAAAGAATAAAAAAAATATAAAATTAAAACAATCCATTTCAAAATCATGCAAATGATAGTTTTTTAATCGTGCATTAAAAATGATAAAGAAGTCAGTATTGCTATTATGAATAGGAACCAGGAGTCGGAAAGGAACCAAGTCAGTGAAGGGTGAACCAGTGAAAGGAAAACGAAATTGTTTACTAGTCCGTTAGTACATCTACATAATGAAAAAGTTGTATTAGTGATGTGATGATAAGAAACATAGTAATAATGATAAGTTTGGTTACACACTGCGGTAAAAGAAACAGTACCCACACAGGTTGTTTACGTGACATTTGTGGTTATAAGTTATTCAAAAAAATAATAAATGGTATTTTTAATTGGCTGTATCTCAGTTAACTTTGAGAATTGACCACATCTTTTGAAGAACTTTCTGCTTAAAATGAAACATGAAACACCCTGTACATTTAGTAAAATATAAATAAATAAATTTGGTGGAATTGCAAAGTCTGTAAGTAGTTGGTGGAATTAGCGGTCGTTTTTTTCTATAAGTCAGTGAACTGTATACAGTCTATTTCAAATTAACTACTATTGCTAACTTACTTAGTTGGAGAGATTAAATTGTGAGGTTTTGTCTACTGCATCCAAATGTGGAATTAAAAAAAAAGCAAAACAACATCGCATTTTTCAGATAATAAAAAAATGTTACTTTTTATATAATAAATTGGTCTCGGCGAGATTCTGGGGGGGGGGGGGGGGGGAATATGGGGGAATAATCCGGGAAAGAATGCGGCTCTTTGATAGCGGAAGCATCCATTTTGCAGTTGCAAAGAAAAAGTGAAAAAAATATTTGTTTTGAATAACGGGTTTGTTTACCGTGCAGGTAGAAGTGAACAGAGATTTGTGTATTGTGCTCCAGGTTAGGAAGAGTGATGACGTCAGTTTACGGGGAAAAAATTCCATCCGAGAACTTCACCGGTTGGATAAATTAATACATAGAAGCGAGTTAGTTGAATGTGTCAGTTTATTACACTAGAAGCAAGGATGAAATCGGTTGAAATAGTAGGAGAACTGGTGACAAGTTCCGATAATCTTATACGGAGTGAACACCTCAGCGCTAACAAAGAGCAACAGACAAACAATGAGGATGGCGGAACGGAAGGCATTAAGGATACTGATGGAATACAGCGACCTCACAAGAAAGCAGATAAGGGAATAACTAGGAGGAAAAATGATCACCATCAGGAGACTGAAGATGAGGCAGCTGAGATATTGGGGGCATATAAAAAGGAAGTACAAAGACCATATCCAGTATACTGCGGTGCGGTGGCGGTCTCAGGATTTCCATAGAGAGATGGGAAGAGTGGAGCAGAGATAAACACAAAATGAAGAAAGAAAGCAGACGAGTACTGGAGGTGGAGGAAGAATCAGACGAAAGTACAAGCGGTCAAGAGGAGGAGGAGGAGGAAGAGACAGAAAATGAGGCAGGAAGAGGACAACAAGAAAGATGGAAATTAGATCAAAGGATGGAGACATCGGAAACGAATGTAACGAAGGGGGAGAGGCTATCACCAGGAAGCAGAGTTCCCTCAAATGCAGATATGCTAGTGGCGAAGCTGTGGTCGTACTCTATTTGATTTTCCCGAAATATTGTTGATGTAAGGAGGGCTGACCGAGCTTGTTTCATATGTAGGAGGACATTCTTTTTACGAGGTTCAGTGATATTCATTTATTTATGTAAAAAATTAAGTGCTATATATCTTTAAGATTGAAAAATTATCAAGAGAAAATGGATCTGTGTTTTCTTAAAGATATCAACCTCTGGGCAATTTTGAAGCCGTTTGTATTGCATGCCTTTTTTTTTAAATTTATGCATCTATCAAAATTGCATTTCATAGAAAAAATCATTTAACGTTAGTTCGTTCAAAATTCAAGCTAGAAAATCTCCAAACTCATAGGATTATTTATAAGATAATTTGGCTATAAAAAATTGTGCCCTATATTGTTGTTATGTAGGGCATTAAGGACAGTGCCCACGCACTAGTTATTCGGAAATTTATAGCGAAAACTAGAATTAGGAAATGAGAGAAATGTAAATTGAAACCATTTTACTATTTCATTTTTTTCATCAAAATAAAAATGAGAAAAAATGCGATACCGTAAAATTTATGTCAAGAGCTAGCCCGGAGTTATTTTGCGAAACATATTTTCAAGTTCATTTAGGAAGTAAATATTTTATCAAAAAAGGAATTGTCAATCCTCATTGTGAACCTGTTACCTAATCACCCGCTACCATGGGGCTTCAAAGAAAAGTGCCATTGTAAGGTGCGCCCGAAAAAATTTCCCATGGAAGATTCGTCCTCGTCCGATTCGCCCCCGGAAAGTTCGTCCTCTTCGCGGGCAAAACATTTATGGCGGGGATTACTTTGCTCCATGAAAACTCCGGACACTCCCCAAGAAAATTACCCCCCTCCTTCTCGCCGAAGTACTTGATCTTAGAAGATTCGTCCTATGAAAATAGGCTTAGGTTTTCCTGCAGTTTTCCTAATTCGTCAGGTAAATACCGGAGTAGTATAGAACAACTTAAGGTATTCTGCAGAGACACCTCTAAAAAGCATCATGCGGGTCACTCTGTAATTGGACGCAAGCCTGTTGAGGGCCCAGGACAAGGGGGGGTAATAAATAAATAAAATAAAAAAATGGCCACAATATCTTCGTTCGCAAGGAAAATTCCCCTTCACGATACCGTGCTACACTTCCGAAAAGTAACTACCGCCAAAGACCACCAAAATGACTCTTGCTACGACCGGTGTCACGTGAGCTCTCGTAAGAACTATACTGCAGCTACATAGAATTATCCATCCCGTATCCTTGGTCCCAAATAGGGGTGAAAATGAATTAGTAATGCGTTTTTCAAGGATTACAAAAATTTGTAGAAGACTTTAAAAATAATAAATGTTCATGTTGAGACTTGATTGGATCTAGCCCCCAAACGAAGCATTTTAAACCTTTGGTTTATCTGGAAAAATGTTTGCTTTGAGAATTTCTAAATTTTTGATACAAAACTTAATTTTTATGCGCTGTGTATTGACTTATCGTGTAATAAGTATTCATACAGAAGTAGAAAACACATAAAATTAAATATGGAAAGCCTATCCATACAATTGATCAACCTATTCAAAACGTTAAAAAAATTAACAAAAACAAAAGATGTCTACTAATAAATAAGAATTTTACCAGAGAAAATTGCGAGAGAAGAGATATATCAAATATGTACACAATTTAAACAAGGTTATATATAGAAATAGATAAGATGAGTGTCATCTGATCACATCAGTAAGGTTGAAAGATAATGATCTGCAGTTTCTACTTGATAATACAAGCTATGAGTCATCTGAGAAAAATTGCAGGATATAATAAGATAAAAAATGAAACTAACGGACCAATGTTGTTTTTAACTCAGTTTGAAGTTGAGTTTTTTATTGGAACGTCCTTGTCTCTCCGAGGAGAAGATGCTGCGATTACCCGGTCGTTAGTGTAAAATGTGTTCATTGAAAACTGTAATTGTTTTTGTGTACGGTGTACGGATACCTTTTATTTGGATATTACAATTCCCGGACAAGTAGTTAAGTCATAATTTTAGTTTATTTGTAATAACTGTTTGTGTTATTGTACCATTTTCCTTTTGTGTGTTAGGATTAAATCCCACTTTTGTAATCTTCATCATTAATTTCCGTGTGTTATTCACAACAACGTCTTTTCTAATTTACCGGTTGTTTTTATTGGATGCTTGCCCAAGGTCCATTTTAATTATTCAAAATTTTGAAGTTCAGTTTGGAGTTTAAGGTATTTGGTCTGACTCACTATCTGTTAGAAGGTAACAGGTTAACTGAGAGCAGAGTTGAATCTCTCCTCTGTGCTGGAGAGAAGTTTTGTGCCGTCGTAATAAATAAAAGGGAAAGAGCTAGCTAGGTTTTTGTTTTGGTGTTTTGTGTACGGTCTTTCTGGCCTACGGATCAGTGCACACAGCATGTTGTCAACGAACTACCATTAGAATGGAGAACATACAGGGTGTTCCTGTTCCAAATCGCATAGGAAGGTTAATTGAGTTTTGCAGATTAATATTTTTATTAAAATTTTCGTTTTAAAAATTGAGTTTGACAAGAAGCCGTCATAAAACATTGAAAATATCGATTACAAAAAATGAATTTCTCCGTCATTATAATAACTATACCTAATAAACAGTTTGATATGAACGTTTCTGAAATTTTGGTAGTTAAGAGTTAAGTTGAAAATAAGTACCGATTCTAACAATTTCCCCAAGAAAGTCCAGAGTGCAACTGGAGCTCAAATAACCATTTCTATTGACAAGTAGTATGCGTTATGAATTTTTAATCGTAGTTGGAGAACCACTACGGACTTCGCTGAAGTTCTGCCCCTGTGAGTAATTGAACGAATTACGTTACGATTGAACTTCTATTTCTATCATAACCTTCTATTGTGTTGAAACGTTGAGTGACTATTATTAATTACTCAATGATTGAAATAAATAAGTGGATCAACATTAGTTATTACTTCCATTACTTTACATTTAAAGCATTGGAAAACTACTGATAAGCGTTCTCGAATTTGCAATTCAAGTTAGGTAAAACTCATAGGTAAGTACTATTTACATGCACAGTAGAACCTAACAGTATGGTACTGCAGTATAAGCGTTACAACAATCGATGGGCATTTTATATTCTACTAAAAGAAAGGTGCAAATGAAAATAATGTTACAAATAAAGAATATGACCCTTTTGATTCACTCACTCATACTACAAATGATACCAACCTGATTTTATAATCTGCTTCCATTTTAATCTTATTGGCAGTTTCTCCATTATATGCCATTTCCTGACGTAAAACTTGAATTCCACCCTCCAAAGTATCAACGTTGCTTTGTAAGTCTTCAATGGCAGAATTTTTGCTGATAATTTCGTTCTTAAGCGAATCAATCGCCTTGAGTAATTCTACCTCGCGGGACTGATGGGACTTTTGTTGGGTGTAAAATTGATCTTCTAAAGTTTTTAGCTTAGTT